TTTCTATATATTAGGCTATGTCTTTTCTACAAATGGCTCAAGAAAATACGAACGATCTTTTTAATTATTAAACACCGTTAATTCTGGACAAACCTGGATCAAAGGTAGCTCAGCTAGAAAATTCCAGTTTCTGAGACTAAGGTACGATTGGTCAAACGGATGACGAAACTGTACATTAAGTGAGCTCCACACAATCCTCTTGCACAGTGCAGCCAAACCCCTTTCTCCAAGTTAAAGAGATTGTAAAGAGATTTTCTAAACTTTTTATTTGTGTATGGACACAGTTAGCATCAATTTGCACCATTCCAATATTCAATCCGATATCAAAGATTCTTGCAATTAAACGAGACGTTTTATGACGTCATTATCGCAAAGGCTCTTTGAAATTATTAGCAGATATTGCGACAATAACGTCATATTATACAGTTAAATATTTCTATATTTACAGACACCTACGTCTTTTGGAAAATTTGAATGCTTCAAATAGAAAATGGCCCGATCAACATAAAAAAAGCTGCTTACAATCCTTTATGTTATTTCAATATCAATTTATCCCACAAATAATACTCTGGGCAATACTATTAATATTCAACTATTGAATCCTAAACAGAATTGGCATCAAGCCCAATAAAGAGACATTAATCTTTGTGCTACAATTTAGCTGGCAGCCAGTTTATTCACAGATAGACAATACAGTTTAAAGAGACTTTAAAGAGGTTTTCTAATTTTGTATGTGCATCGGGTACAATGATATCATCAATTTGCACCAATGCAATATTAAATCTGACGTCTGTGGTTCCTGTAACCCTAAAACTAAGTGTTTGATGACATCACTAATGGCACAGGGCCTTTTATTATACAAGCATTTTTGCGATTAGTGACGCCATCAAACATTTAGTTTGAATTGCAGGAACACAGGCTGATTGAATATTGGAATGGTGCAAATTGATGCTATACAATACAATGTCCCAATACACATAAACAAAATTTACAAAACCTCTTTTCAGTATCTTTAGATACAGACATTGATTTACAATAATGACATAAATATCACCATTATTGTCTTTCTAAACACGGGTTTTTAAATTGAAATATCATATTGAGCTGATAAAAACTGTATCATATCATTGAGCAATTCAAGATACTCTAGCACAGGTTAGGACAAAGGGTGATTTGTGACCTAGACAGTGGCGCGCTAGTGGGGGTCTAGAGGAGGGGGGTGGGGAGGGGGGCATTTGCCCCACTAGAAAAATTGTTTGCCCCTCCAAATGTACTCCCACTTTATTTTTTACAACTTTAGGAATACGACATTTATATGTTTCCGCTCCAAAATATGTCACAGAATGCATCAAATCAGTTCATTTTTTCGAAATTTTTATTGAGAGACGCTCCACAGAGTTTGAATTCATTCTCAACATCTTCTTCTGCACCTGATTGGGCTAGTGAAGACAGGCAACGTCATGTAGTGTGCAATGAGGGACATTTTGCCAGGACGGCGGCATTAGCCAACAGACTAGATTAATCTTACAGACCACATTGTCCTGAGTGGCATGAAATATAGATGTTTTTATATCTGAATGTATTGTTATCTGAAATGTTGATTAATAAATTGTTGTATTTTGACGTCAGTTGATTTAGATGATAAATCTATTTGTACACCCAGTCTCGGGAGGCTGGCATCGCTATTGCCTTTGATAGACTGTAGATCATCCAAACTGGTTATCAAGAGTATTGAAGTGATAGATCTCGGACTAGCTTGTTAAAGCGGTAGAGACCCGAAGGCTATTTACACAATGATATCAAAAAAAAACAACAATGGTTGTACAACGTTGTGTGAAAACAAGAAAAGTTCAATATATAATAGTAAAAAAAAGTATAAAGTTGAACAAGGAAAAATACACGTAGGAAAAAAACAAATCTTTAAAGCTGTAGTAATCAGTGAAAAAAAACCAAAATGGTAATATGGATAATGGTAAAAAAAAAAAAATGGTAATATGGATAATGGTAAAAAAACAAAATGGTAATATGAATAATGGTAAAAAAAAAATGATAATATGGATAATGGTAAAAAAAAATGGTAATATGAATAATGGTAAAAAAACAAAATGGTAATATGAATAATGGTAAAAAAAAACAAAATGGTAATATGGATAATGGTAAAAAAAAAATGGTAATATGGATAATGGTAAAAAAAAAAACAAAATGGTAATATGGATAATGGTAAAAAAAACAAAATGGTAATATGGATACTGGCAAAAAAAAAAAAAAACCACCATGGTAATATGAATAATGGTAAAAAACAAAATGGTAATACAGATAATGGTAAAAAACCAAAATGGTAATATGGATAATGGTAAAAAACCAAAATGGTAATATGGATAATGGTAAAAAACCAAAATGGTAATATGGATAATGGCAAAAAAACCAAAATGGTAATATGGATAATGGCAAAAAAAAAAAAACCACAATGGTAATATGAATAATGGTAAAAAACAAAATGGTAATATGGATAATGGCAAAAAAAACAACAAAATGGTAATATGGATAATGGTAAAAAAACAAAATGGTAATATGGATAATGGTAAAAAACCAAAATGGTAATATCGATAATGGTAAAAAAACAAAATGGTAATATGGATAATGGCAAAAAACCAAAATGGTAATATGGATAATGGCAAAAAAACAAAATGGTAATATGGATAATGGCAAAAAACCAAAAAGGTAATATGGATAATGGCAAAAAAACAAAATGGTAATATGGATAATGGCAAAAAAAAAAAAACCACAATGGTAATATGGATAATGGTAAAAAACAAAATGGTAATATGGATAATG